ACTGCAGCACATGTTCTGTATTCTGGAAAGTATGTGATAGGTACAGAAGATTTTTTCTACTTACTGTGATTCTATCAATAAAACAAGAATTATACTTCCTTCCCTTCCCTCCCTTTCTCTCCCTCCTCTCTTAGTTACTTTCGTGTTGCTTAGACACAACTCTAAGGAGGAAAGGCTTATTTTAGCTCACAGTTTGTGGAAGTTTCAGTCCACAGTTGGCTGGCTCCAAGGCAGGGAACAGAGTTCATGGCATGACAGACAGGAAGCAGAGAGAGATGGAGGAGGGAAGGAGCTAGATCCTTCCAGGCCATACCTCTTGTGACCCACCTCCTCCAATCAGCCTTCACTCCCATATCACATTAAGCTGTGAACTTACCACTGACTAATCCACTGGTAAGAATCACACACTCATGACTCAGTCACCCCTAAAGAACCCTGTGCATGTGAGGATTTGGGGGGGACATCTAGATCTAAATCATAATAGCTTCCCTTCCGTTTCCTCCATTTCCCTTCTCTTTTCTCCCTCTGTTCCTGCATTCTTCTCCTCACTCCTCCTTTTCTCCTTTCCTCCTTTCCTCATTATTATTTCCTCCTTCTTTCTGTTCTTTTTTTTGTTTTGTTTTCATTAGCAGTTGCTTCTGATTTACAGTAATACCTTGGTTCACCAAAGCTTCTGTTTGTGAACAAGTCCATTCACAAACAGACATGTTTGGTCAAAATTTTGCTTCAATTTTGAACTCCACATCAGGTGGGGAACATGACCACAATGGGTCGTCTTCCCTGCATGAACACAAACACAGAACTTCCCTAGAATCCTGAAACAAATTAAGCACCACTACCAAGGTACCACTTGAATTTGTAATGAGTGTTTTGTTATATTAAAATGCAGGTTTTGGATACAGAAACATGAATTTAAGTGTTAGATCCACCACTTATCAGCAAGAAAGAGATTAATAAGTTCCTAAAGTCTCCTGCTCCAGTTTTTCCATTTGTAAAATGAGGTGAATAATAATATCTAGGCTTATTCTACCTCATGTTTGGTTGGAAATTTGATGAGTGTAACTTTCTAGGCTGAATATTTGTCATCTGCATTTCAAAGTTATTTTCTCCATAGTCTTCTGGTACTGCCTATGAGAAATCACACAGCTCTTTACTTCCTTCTTCTTGACTCTGATTTTCTGTATCAGCATTCTTACTTACATTTCTCATTGCTAAGACAAAATGGTCAACACCTGAAGTTAACGGAGGAAAGGTTTATTTTGGCTGATAGTTAGTAGAGATTTCAGTCCACAATCGGCTAGCTCCAGGGCAGAGGGGCATGGCAGAGGGGTATCATGGAGGGGGAAAAAACAGTTCATGACATCAAAGGTGGAAGGCCTGAAGCAGAAAAAGCAGCAAACACAGGCCAAAGCAGCAGGCCTCTTTCTGTCCCTTATATTCTATCTAAGCTGCATACCTTTAGGGCGGGTAGTACTCACATCCAGGGTGGACCTTCCCATTATCCACATCCAGAACTATGCCAGATCAGTAAGTGGACTAATTTTGTAATTACACATCCTTAATCCCAGCATCACATACTTTAGATTCAGCCGCCTCTGAAAAACCCTACCTATAGCCGCATGAGGCTTTGGGCAGGCAAGACACAGCCACAAGAAGCATCTTCTGCCTTCAAAAGCTTAAAACTCTCCATTTAACTTTGGGGTTCTGATGGTATACTTCTTCTAAGTAAAGATGTTTTCTTTTCATTAATGTCCTAGATCTAGATAGAGAGGCTCCCTGCAAGTAGTGACTGTGTTTATTCTATTCATCACCTAAAACTTAGCTCACTGCACTGCATTTAAAACACAGCAGACATTTCATAAAAATCTGTTAAATGAATGATCTTTCCAAAACTGAAAACATATTTAATGAATTACAAATATTAATGACATAAATTCAGTTGTACTTAAAATGACTAACTTTAACAAAGAAACAATAACATGATTCACTGTGATTTCACAGAATATCTGTTATTATGTCTTTCCTTACAGACAAAATGTTAAATGCTAGGTTTATTGCACAAGTTTTCTTTCTTGGTCTTGAAACAATCTGGAAATGCAGATGATAAATAAGGACTCTTTGCCTCAAATATATGCCTCATATTATTCCAATAAGAAATGGTATAGGTGAAACTAGAATTTAAAGTTGATGCTAAAGTCCAGGATTCCCACTTGGCACCTGCCAAATGTGACTTGTTCTCCTGAAGCTTACACATTCTACGTGTGTTCCTTGCTCCCTCCACGCCATGGCAGGCATGTATCATAGGTGATCATCAATTTGTCAGGATAGCAACAGGCACTTTTCATTATATCCAATCGTCTCCAATCTTTTGGGCCCCCACCTACATTTTTATGTTCCTAAACAAATTTTAATCAATTTTATGTGAATATAAAATATTAGAACCATTTATTTAAAGTTCAAATAAAATGACAAACATTCATTTTCTTGCTTAGCCAAATCTGTGCTTTGCAGCACAGAACAGAATGAAATTGAAGAGGGGTACTGCTTGTTTGGGTATCTTAAAAAATTCTATATGCAACAGAACCAGCAATTATACACAGAGTTTATATTTTAGTTTTAAAATCATTTTTGTCTCCTAGTCTTTTGAATATGTAATTATCATGGAGCATAATAACATATTAATATTTTTCTCATGTTTACATAGTATTTTCTTAGAAAATTAAACCATAAATCTCAACACCTAAATAGAAATCATTGATTTACTGTGTACCCCAACACACAAAATATATTTTTAAAGTTAGTTAAAAATAACATATTATAAATATATATGTATATTTTTGAATATTTTAATTTGGGAAACTAAATCTGCTTTATATGATTGTTGATTCTTAGAAATGTAAAAACTATAAACAAATTAATTTATTTCTCAAAATATAACTTTACATTCAAAGCTTATTAGAGGTGATTATTTATAACAACTAAAAGCTCAAGGTAATTTTTCAACTGTTTTTGTGGACTTGATTATAGTTAGATATTTTTCAACTTATGCAAAAGTCAGTCAAGCTGAAGAAATATAAACCAACTTGACAAGCTACCATAGAGCCTCCTGGAGAATAAAGCACAGCATCCATGATATAGCTTTTAGTTACAACAGGATCAGCTTTCCTAATTCAGCAGTACAAAAATCAATACACTGTTTCTCTTTCATGCTCTTCATGGAAACTTATGCAGAAATAAGTTTTGCCTCTGATTTGGAGACATAATAGTTTCCAATTTAGTGAGTCACAACATAGATAACTTTAAAGATTTATTCAGAAACCACTATAACATCAATATTGTTACAAACAAAACTATCTAAGGTTAGTTTTAAAATCTCTCTCTTAAAAAAAGACAAAGAGAAGGGCAAAATATGACTGCACATGGTTTATACATGTTGAGATCAATGATTATCAATTAAATATTGAAAGGGTAAGTTCAGCATGACTTGAGCTAGTTTAAAAAGTCAAGATAAACTTCATAACTGAGGAAGAAAATAATTCTAGCAGCAACATATAGATTGATTTGAATATGGATCTATTTATTGCCTGCAATAATCCAGAATATCTATATTATTATGATAAATTATTTATCAATTTAACTATCACAGCACTCTCACTGCCTCACTGGTGTTGATGGTAGAAACATACATGGCACTCATATTCAGAATTTTTGGTTCACAAATACAAAGAAAGGTTAGTGAAGCAACCCTTGAGTCATTTTATGTTTCAGCTCAAACCTTAAATGTATTGAATGTGAAAACCAGAAGCAGTCATTTGGTAGATGAAGCAACTGTGTCCCAAGAGGTTAATGATACTTGACACATAAGATTGTATGTTTATACTGCTGAGCGAAAAGGGTAAATGAACTACAACATTTGAAAAACAAATAAATGCCAAAATATTTCTAGCAAGACAAATAGACTTTAATCCAATGTAGTTGTTCCAGCTGCTGGTAATGACAAAATCACTCTGGGTATACACTGAAATTATAATAATGATTCATATAGTAATGCTATCATAAAAGGTAGACTTCCAGCACCATAGTGATTGTACTTTTCTCAACTTACAAGCAGAATATAATTTAATAACACAATTGTAAATGTATACTTATGTAAAATAAGTTATATTTTCTTGGGTAGTGTATCTCTCCCATTTGTAATAACCAGGTTTCAGTTAATATATTTTAAATCCTTTTTTTATTCTTTCAAGTGGTACAGGTGTGATACCTGAGCATTTCATTTTCCTAGCAGAATGCTTCCAAAGTTTTACTGGAAGGTATTACAGCCCAGCCTCGTCCTTGTTAGACTAGAGGCTTATGATTGGTCATATCACACACATACAGCCAGCACATTCACATAACATACAGTTTTTAAATTACTGGTGCACAGCCAATTAAAATAAAACATTCAAAGCTGGTTCAGATAAAATACAAAGAATTATCTCTGATTTAAGCGTTGCTCATTTTCAACCCTGAAAGACATTTTAGCCAAATTTATAATCTTTCTTATGAAACTCTAGTATTTCAGCAAGTTACCAAAGAAAAAGAGAAAGGCAAGACTCATATATACAAAAGCATCATGCAAACCAGGCAGGCTTTGTAATAAGTTTGGGGAATAACTTTGTCTTTGAAATGCGGAATCATCTAGAAAGTTCACCAAAGCATTCTTGCAGGAAATTTAGTACCAGTCATTTCCAGTCTCCTACATCTCCCCTCAGTAGGGAACCTTCTCTACTTTACACTCTATCTGAAGTCATAAAGCAATTGAACGAACCTCTATGCTTCAGAAATAAGCTGATTTCATGCTGAGAGTGAAGAGATCTAATCAGATAATAAAATGATGGCAAATATTGCACAGGTTCCTTGGAATGCAAATTACTTAGGATGATTCTTTTTTCTCCCGAAGAAAGGGGTGAAGAGGTAGATAGGCAAAGAATAGTTTTTAAGTCTTTACATTCACTCACCAGTTTCCTAACTGTAGGATCAGTAACAGGAGCATCAACCTCACCCCTCTGCTTTGACTCCACAGAAGAAAGGGGGAGAAGAGGAAAGCCTCCCAAGAACCCATCTGGGTCTCCTTTTCTGTTGGTGCTGCACTGGCTCAGTCTCCAAACCAGCACTTTCCCTCCCGCCTCAGCAACAGCAGAGTAGGAGCAGGGCGAGTGTGGAAGGCTGTATACCTCCTCACCAGGTAGGATGCGACTCCCAGCGGAACTGAGGGGCAGCCAATCAGAGCGAGAGGATGATGGCATAAATTATCCCGGAAAAAGCTGGGCCAATCAGTGGCCCTAAGAGGCGGGGCTCCCCTTACTAGAAATCGAGCCCATTAGGGAAAAGGGCTCCGTTTTTTTAAAAGAAAAATAAACCACTTTTCCTTTCCCGCTGCAGAGAAACGTTTGAGTGGCCTTGACAGACTCTCCAGGGAAAGAAAAGGCTGCCTCCCTCTTCGCTCCGGCCTCCAATCCTGTCTCCAGGCGCTGTCTCATTGCTGTCCTGCACTCGGATTTGGAATGCGCCTCTCGGGAGAGACGGGAGAAGCTAGTACCTAAGTGGCTTTCCCCAGGCTCTGACGATTCTGTTAATCTGGGTTAATTATCGTGTGTTAAGTTTGAAGATGGGGCGGGATCTCATTTCTCTTTACACACCTAGTAGCTGACAGAGTGCCTGCTCAAAGGAGACATTGAATATATAAGAATGAATGAATCAATGAATGAATGAATGGAGAGGGCTCCTGCATTCTCCCGGGGCACCGACGCTACCTGCCCCTGCCCCACCGCCGCCTCCGCAGCGACAGGAATTGCAGTATACTTTTCCCACCAAGAACCAAAGTATGACACTAATGAAGAATGGCAGGCAAAAACGAATCTCATTTTGCAAACATAAAAACAAAAATGGGATCATGGAAGGCTCTCTTACCCTTAGGCATTGTGGGGAACACTACATTGGTGATCCTTGCTCTCTCTGCCCTCCCTAGTTGCCTTTGCGTTTGTTGAGCTCCAGTGTTTGGTACCTAACTTCAGAGGCTCTGCTTTGAGTTCCTACCAGAGCCCTAGAGTTGTCATGGCAACGAGAAAGCCTCTGGCAGCTGGAACAACTGCACTAGCAAAGAAGGCGGTGGTGGAGAAACAGGCTCTGTGCCCAGCCATCTTCTGCCTTTACGCCTTACTAAATCTCTGCTTCCCACGGAAGTCGCCTGAGGTTGGGATCTTGGATGTCCCATTAATCACTCCCAGCCACCCTAAAATTGCAAGCTGCAAGGGTTGACGTGAAATGTACCACCTACTTACTTGAGAATATTCGTTTCCCCGGCAAACATTTCCAGCCAGAAGTGACAGTGTTTGTGCATGGCGGTAAGGAAACTGTTGCTATGCTGCCCACTGAAATCACTTGGAGGAACGGAATCGGGGAACAAGGTCACTGATTTTTTTTTTTTTTTTGCCTTCTTAGTTGAAATTTCTTGTGGCTAAGACTGGAGTACTGGACTTTTCTCTCTTCTATGTGATTCTCCATCCTTTCAATCTTGGTGAACATAGGTATTTACCCTCCTTGTTTATCTTCTGCAACTCCACATTAATTACGCAATATTTTTCTCCTCTAGAAAGCATGTTAATCAAAGTAGTTTATACCAAAAATTTATAAAACAGTCAAGGCTTATCACAAAACATTTTGAGTTGATTAAATTTAAGTAAAAGGTGATGATATAAATCCATATTCTTGTAGGTTTTCTCCACCCATTTTGATTAAGAATGTACTTTGGATAGTAATTTAACTGTTTCATTGGATGCACAAGCTAATTCACTGATCTGATTAGCCAGAGAAGTAGGAATTAATCCACTCGCAGTATCTTGTGAATAACAAATACTTGTCTAGTTACCCCTTGCATTTTGCCAAGATTAGGTAAGAGTATTGCAATATCACTGGGAATAGGACATTGCCTAATCTTATACCGCATTCTCGATACTCTTCTCATCAGCAGCTCTTAACAAGGCTTTACTCCTACTCTTGTAGTATGAACAGAAAGATGATAACAGCACTTAAAGAGAAATTAATGGAGGGGAAAGGTGAAGTATATATCCTTAGGTAGTAATACAGGCCGTGATTATTCTTATGAAAGATAATGGGTTAGAAAAAGGAGATATTTCTCATATTTCCTTAAATCTATTTTTGCCAGTTTCGTACTAAAATAGTTTTCAACTTGTTTTCCACTTACTTTCATACACTGTTATCTGACTCTTCAATTGTATGTCTCTCTTTTTTGTATTTTTTTCTTTTTTTAATGTACATCTTTTCAGAACCTGATTTTAATCTGCTGTTACACTTAATTATATTCCCCTGGAAACCATGTAAAAGATACATAAGCCCTCCAGAACCTCAAAAAAAAAAAAAAATTGATAATGGCTTGATGGTTTTGTATATTGGCTGTACCTTGGCCCTAACAGACTTTCCCATTTGATTCGATAAATCAGCTGTGTGGTGAGTGTGTGTGTGTGTGTGTGTGTGTGTGTGTGTGTGTGTGTGTGTTGTGGAATCAATATACTGTAAGTTCTGAATAAAGAGAATTAGGTACCTTGCATTCACTAGGCAAGCAGCAATGTCTCAATGAACAGCACTCATGGGAAAACAGATAAAGTGTCTTCTTCTAGATTATAAGGCTACAAGTTGTGACAGGTACGTAACTGTAGAAAGTTCTCTGACTTCCATAGTGGCTGTGGTTTTCAATTAAAAACAGTTCAACTCCACGAGAATTTGAGTTTTCTCTAGTCACAATTTATATGTGTGTATTGGGCCATGAGCTACTGATATCTAGTGGATACAGGTTAGGGTTATTGCTATATAATCTAAAAATGCAAAAATAACTATAGAACTCAAGCTATCAATTCCAAGAGCAAGAAATGCTTCCATGAGAGTAAAGAGGATAGGTAAGAAGATTCAATCTTGAGTGGTTATTTTCTCGCACTCTCTTTGAAGCCACACTTCCCTTCTTTTTTCTTTTGACTGGCTAGGCCACTGCCATCATCCATGATGCTTCTGTCTAGTGCTAATGACTATCAACTCATAGAACACTCCATGTTTCCCTTTTTTCCCCAAATTATTCAGAAATTATTTTAGAATAAAACACTTGGATCTTACCTATTATGCCAATTTATGGGCTTTATTCCAGATCTAACTAATTAGAGTTCTTTTTAGCAAGAACTTCTGCAGATTTTTAAACCTTAGAGTTTGAAAATGATTGTTCTGCCATAATTTCACCAAATAAACAACAAGACCATGAGCAGATCATGTGCATACAACCATCGTCAGCAAAGCAGGAATTCAGCCTGATTCATCTTTCATTATCCATGCATTCAGAAATATACATTATGAAACTGTGGTGTTTGGCAATATTGCTGGCTTTAGAAATATAATGGTGAATGTGATTTATTTGTTTGTATTCTGGTTCCTTCTTTTATAAAATAATGTATAAGAATTCTACTTAGTTTATAAAGTTGTTAGAAAGATTAAATAAATGACTAAATGGGAGTCCATTAAAATAGTGCCTAGATACTACAAATTAGTAAAAATGCTAATTAGTGTTACTATCTCACTGAGGGGAGATCTCAAATCTAATTAATTTACTTAGGCCCTACCACAGAACATTTCTAGAATATGAACTTGAACAGAAAGGACAGAAAGGATTACTGCCCTGATGCTCTCATCCAGCTCTTGACATTGTTCTGATATTTGGCCTCTCCAAAGGGGACGTTTTGCACTGTATTCTTCCTCCTGTACTTTCCAGTCTTCAGGATCGCAAACTTGTTATGCAAGCATATCTCTTATCTTTTCACATGCAACTGCATTAGCCTAGGAAACCTTTCCCTCTTCATATGTCTAATCCCTCTTTATTCTTTCTGATTGAGTTTAGGAGGCATTGCGGGTGGACATAGCTATCTGCCTACCTGAAACATATTTGCAATATTATATAAATCACATTTTCAGAAATTATCTGTTTGGCTATTCCAAGCTTCCAATTCTGCTTCTAAACTTTACATACTAATGATTAACAGTGACTGTGAGATACATATTTCATATATTTATGTGCATATTCAGTTAGTACCCTTATTCTCTTGGAATGCAATTCCATGAAGGTTGGGATCTCTTTTTTATGTTTCATGTGTTTTTTTTGTCTGCACTGCGACCCTAATGTCCAAAGCAATGGCTGGCAGGTGATAAGTACTCAACATATATCTGTATAAAGAATAAGAAGTCAATGCAAAAATTGAATGGATAAACAAATTAATGAACATGGCTTGGTGCTTCTGCCTATGATCCCAGCACTCTGAGAGGTTGTGGTAGGAGGATCACAAGTTCAAGCCAAGCTTGGGGAACTTAAAAATTTGTGGAGAACCTATTTCAAAATACAAAACAAAAAATGCGCTATGTATATAGCTCAGTGATAAGGCCCTGGGTTCAATCTCAGTATAATGAATAAATGAATACCTTTAATTCTTTCATATATTTTGGAGCCATTAAGTAATCTCTATTCCTTATCATATATTTCGAGTGTCCCTTTTTAAGTAGTCAAATTCCAGTTCAGCAGCACTAGCGCCTACCTGGCAAGTCCTGAATTTGATTCCTGGCACCAAAAAAAAAAGAAAGAAAGAAATTCCCGACTTTGCTGCTTAACTTAGTCCTGCCCATCAGATCATAGTTTTAACTATTTTATGAGTTACAGGTTGCACAGAACCAAAATTAACAAACTCGCTACCTTCAGTTCATGCAAACAGTTTCTTTATATCAACAGTGCTGAGGTCCAACACACATGGATTTCAAATAATTGATGTTATACATATTTTCTCTGTCAGTCTGTTCAGTCTTCTTAATCTTCCTCGTGGCCTTGAGAAGATAGTCAAGATGCATGCAGAAGATGATTCTTGATGGTAGGCAGAATGGGAAGGCTCTGTAGCATTTGACCTTCATGTAGTCTGAAACAACCATTCAAAAGCAACAACCACAAAGAATGGCCTAAGAAACAGAAGCTAAAGAGCACTTGATGCCTAACTTGAAGAACCAGCTGCCTACACTCTGGGTGACAAGTACAAGATTTACAATTATCATGCAGTTTCTAAGTATGAACTTCTACAACTGGTTATTTCCATTC